AAAAAGCTTAAATAATTAATAATAAATCTAATAAAATACTTGAATTATAATAATAAATACATAAATTAGCTCATATTATAACTAATTAGCTTATATAAAAAAGTGGGTTCTTTCAGCTTATTATAAGCTTAAAAACTAGATTATATAATTTTCTAAAAACACATTATATTATACTATACTATAAAAACTATAAAATATAGTTTTCTAAGTTTTAAGCTTATAATACTATATAAGAACCTATTTTTTTAATATTAGCTTATAATATAAAATTTATATTAATTATTCGTAAAACTTATAATTTTATAAGTATTTTATTAGATTTAATATTATTTATTATATTAGAAATTATAAAAACTATAAAACTATAAAACTATATTACTTTTAATACTCTGCGTGTTAATAAAGAATTAATATAGACCGGCCGTGTTTGGTAATTGCCAGACCAGGAACCCGCTAGCCCAGATCCTGAAGTTCAGTACTAAGATTCCATTTCTGACGACGGGTGCATAGACTCATGGCCTACCATCCAGGGGGACGATGTGTGAGACCTGATGTTGACCCGTGCCTTGTAAAGCCATCCTTTTCTGGACGACTGAACTTATCCACCTGCTGCCGAACTGTAGAGTCAGTTCCGGTCATCCATTGCCAGATGATGAGCCTGGTCCTGTAGGCTTGGGCTACCGTCGCTGTTTTCTGCAACGTTACTTTTGGTCCTCAGCCATGAAGATCTGTGAGAGGTGAACAACTCAGAAATGCTGATATATACTCAACGTATCGTACCTGTTACTGGCACAATTCAATTGTATGCTCATCATGTCACAGTCCCAGCAGACACTAGAGTCGTCCAGAGTACCGCATGACTGAAATTGATACTTGGGGAATGCAGGTGATATTAATACGTTTCGGCGCGGAGCTACTGCTTTCGAAATGCTCGGGATATAGCAAGGAGTCCCGGTATCGCTTCGTTCAGGCTGCGAATTCGCATCACACAAGTAAGCAGACGGAAATACACTTGACAAATTGACGTAAATAGAGTAAGGTCACCTCGCAGCAATGACAAATAGGGAGCATGGTCACCCTTGTTGAGTTGACACCACATCCGAGTATGGTTCTGAGACTACTATTTGAACAACTCACTTCGTCCCCTGAAGCGGTGCCAGCCATCGTTAGCTCACGTGACGCATTGCGCCCGAAACCCAATGCTTACCACGTCGTTGATACAGGAAGCTGATTGCTTCTATGCGTCCTCAATACATCCCCTCTCGCTCATGAAACACTGGTAACTAAGCAGCTGCCAGGGGCGTCACTCAGCACCGTACGTAATACCTCCTTAGTCTCCGTCCTGAGAGCCTGCCGCTTGCTCATCACTGCTTCCAGGTTTTTGGTTTTTTTCTGGGAGCTCGAGAAGCACATGAAGCATGGCTTGTATCACAGTTTTGGGGAAGACCCGCCGCCTGTCTTCACCTCCAACCGCAGGCACCGAGGTTCTCGTTATCTTCCTAGATGTATTATTTCGTGCGGTCTAAATGCGATGTTTAAGCTTTGTCTTATATCTAACGAGCGTGTATTGCGGCGGACAAGTTCTGCTTTAGAGTCGACGGTCTCAGCCTAGAGTCTTAGTTAAGACGCAAAGCCTGTTACTTCTTACCCTTCCGCTTCTTCGCCGTGCTAGGGTTAGTAAACGATGTGCTTGGAGTAGCTATTTGTTGCTTAGTTGATTGACTGTCTTGCTCAGCGGGAAGCGAGACCAAGTCAGCATCCAAATAGTGACTCTGTAAGTCCTGGAATAATCCAGTTATCGGCAGCGATGGGTCATCGAAATCCAGGTCCGACGGTAGCTGGTCAATGGCTGAGCATATCCTCTTAAAATGAGACGGCATCCATAACTCGTACACATTTTTCGTGAAATGATAAGCCGTCCACTTTTCTTTGCCGTCTAGGGCTGTGAAATCAAAGGTATGAATAGGATGCCGGTAATACGTAGTATCCTTGCCTTCTATCACAGGATAGTGGCCGTAGATTCTCACCGATCTATGGTCATGCGAGACAGAAAATGCAAGGATCTGTCGGTTGACTTCGTCTTCGCGTTTAACAGCACGATAGAGCTCGGTAACACCTCGTACTGCCAAAGTCATGCTGTGAGCATTCTGGCGATCGGCCACGTCTAGCGCAGCGGCGCCGCACTTCACCTCGCACGTGAGGAAGGGGAAGTACATATAGTATGTCGCCATAAAGAAGGACTGGTCTCCAGTGATAAAGTCGCCAATAAACGGCGATAGCTTGGCCAGCTGGTCGTCGCTAAACGCCTCGCGCTTGAAGCCCAGAGAGTAGTCGGGTTGGGGGCGGGTCCCAGTCAGTGGGATTGAGTTATTCCAGCCTTCGTTGACGCTTTCTATCAGGATATTCAGCTGTTTTGCACCGCGTATGCGTAAAATTTCAGCTGAGGGAACAATTAAGGGTGTGAGATCCCGCATAACCCTAGCCTCGTTCCTGTCCTCAACGCTTCGGCAGGTTTCTTCAAATAGGCTATCTAGGAAGAGGGAGTCATTTAGGGCCGTTTGCTTTGTGCTAAGCAATTCAAAATATTTATTTTTGCTTTCCTTAGTGATCCCGAGATTCGATTTATCCATAAAGCTACCCTTAGATGCAAGCAGGGTTTTGTACCGCGGATCTCTGTAAGGAGCACTCTTCTCCTCTCTCGGCTTCTGATCACTGGGTGTCGTTGAAGTAGCAGAGTTCGATCGTTTACGGCTTAGAGATGGTAGCGACTTCTTCCGAGCAAGTAAATGCTCCATTTTAGATTCGAAGTATTCTCGCGGCCACTTCCCTTCTCTTGCCCAAAATTCAATCGGATTAAATGGCTCGCGGGTGTCAGCGTGGCTATTCAAGGGCTGTTTTGGGGTTTGCCGCACGAGGGAGAATCGAGGGGATCGACGTGGGCGCTTCTGGGCAGAGTCTGGTTCTTGATTACGGGTGTTAATGGGTCGTTTCGTACCGCGTTTGCCAGTCGTAAGATCCTATGATACTTAGTTCACAAGTTCGAATAGAGAGCAAATATGGGAGGGTTGTACCAGTTCAGATGGACTCTTTCTTTTAGGAGATGAATACCGCTGCACGCACTCAATAGACTTTGGAGTTAGACGCTTTTGAGGTCGTGCCGCCTCGGGGCTTTTTGGCTTTCGAATGCCCCAGGGTCGGTTGCCTGTTTATTATTAGTTAAGATATCGCGGAGCGCTTCATGAAACACACAAACCTTGATCTTTTAGCGCCGACGATGTGCGGCCCCTCTGGGCGGCCAACTGTGCTCGAGTGTGAGCCATGACGATAAAAAAAAGTAGATGAGCGATAATGTTGCCATTTTATGTGAAAGCTAACTGCTGACCCGCGTCAAAAAGCCCAGTCGGTTAGACTAATCACGGGACCCCACCCCGCGCTCCAACCTGCATCTTTGAACATCAGCCAACCATTTAGCGCCTTGGTCTGACTCACCCCATCAAGTGTGGCAGTACCGTATAAACTCAGAAAATTCATAGCTGCCCCACTCATGTCTGTTGCACTTGGGGCGAAAGGGGGGCCAATAATCGGCCGCGCCTACAAATTAGCTGCACACAGAGCATTGGAAGTAGTGTAGTTTTATAGTTTTATAGTTTTTATGGTTTTAAATATAAAAAATTATATTAAATCTAATAAAATTCTTATAGAATTATAAGTTTTACGAATACCTAATATAATCTCGGCCCATGTCAC